TGGTGTATGCCTATTCTGATGATATTGGTTATATTTAAATCTTTACTTTATCAAAGTTCCTTTGCTTCTTGTCAAGGTTGGCAGCCAGGGCTTTAGCTCTCTTCACATCAATCATGAGGTCCTCCACCTCACCCTGCAGCCTCTGCTTGGTCTTCTCCAGTGAGGCACACTTGGAGTTCACAGCCTCAATGGATTCCTCAGCCTCCTGCAGGCGCTGGGCAATCTGCAACACTGTCAGCCTGCTTCTTGCGGAGAGCAATTTCTGAAACTCAGCTTCTCGCTTTGTGTTAAACTCAATCTGAGCAGCTGTTGCTCCACCAGCTTCATTGAGCCTCTTGCTGATCTCTTCAAGCTCCCTGGAGAGGTCGGCTCTCTGCTTCTCTATCTTAGCCTGAGCCGCCCTCTCAGCCTCAATCTCCTCTTCAATATGAGCCTAGTTTGAAGTTTTATATTAACAGAGCTTGTCAATGGGAACTTATATTGTAATTGTTTTTCATAAGAATGAATAATATTCATTATGAACGCTGTTCATTAGTTTTACCTTAAGTTACCTAAAGAATCTTGCTGAGAAGCTGGCTTAATTCCTTAAGCCAGCTTCTCCATCAAGTTTTTCCTTGATGGAGAAACCAATAGAGATTTTATAAGGTAAGTGTCCTCATAAATAGTGAGTACATCAGTAATGTCTACAGTATACCCAGTGGTAAATTATAATAGTGCACTACATGGTTTGTGAATTATTTATTGCAATCAATCTTGATATTAACTTGACAGTGATATTAAGTTGAAAGAGTTTATACTAAACTCTAAGCTCAAGTCATTTTGACATTATAGCCAGTACTGAGTTTTAAATTCGGAGAAGTCTTGAAATGCCACTGGTGTACTATTACAGGACATAAACACCTCAGCTATCTGAAATAAAATTCAGAGCAAGACTTTGTATTAATGCCAGACAAGTGTTATATATCTCTACTAGGAATAGAGTTTAAGAAGGACTGCCAGCTCAGATAATTCAATACTAGAAAATTGTTTGTTATAAAAAAAATGTTAATGTCTTTCTGCAAGGAAAAAATAATCATACAGTTTTTAAATTTTAATTTAGATGTACTGAGTAAGTGATAAATGATGAATGGAAGGAAAAGTCTGGGATCATAGCCAGAATTACCTTTCATTGCCAAGTTTTGCACAGACTTGTCTTAATGTCTGCTATCTTACCAGCAGGTCACGAGGTGCTACCATGGTCAAAAATAAATCCAGCAAAGAGAAGAAGCTGTGACTTGTCTTTTGCATAAGTGAAGGATATATTATAGGACAATATTCAGATATGTTGTTAAGACCATGTCCTAACCTGTAAGAGATTTGTCATCTTAAATAGTCTGTTTAATTTCCAAATGTATTTTCCTAAAAAAGCACATGTTTAAAAGTAAGATAAGTTCATTGTAAAATGTTGAGTAAAATAACATATTGTGCATGTTCACTGTGATCCAAGAGTTTGCTAGAATAGCAAGAAAAATGCAGAGTAGACACAAAGACAACAAAACAACCAAAACAGGGAAATTACTTATTTCCTCTGCTTCTTTTAGCTGTGGTATTTTAGAGGAACACATTACAGACAATGCAGTCTAATGTTTTAGTGTCTTGCTAGGTGTACAGTAGCAAGTGTTTAACCTTACTGAATTTTTGAAATTCTACGATACTGTTACTGTAGTACTGTTTTAATGAGCACAGATGAGTCACTTTGGCCTGCACTTCTGGAGAGACACAGTGACATTTCTCTAGAAAGATCTAGCCACTTAAGCTTCCTTAGGAAACACAGTATAAATGGCTACTCATTTGCCTCTATGCTCACAATTTACTTTTGACTATATTCCATTTTTTTTTCTTTAGAAAATTTCTGTATTTGCAAATCCAGACATTAGGTGTCTCTGATACCTTCAACATTCACAAAGCCTTAAACTCTATGGAGAAAAAGCGAAGAGTGACATAAATAGGAGGTTATTGTCATCAAGTACTCTGCCAAAATAAAAGGTCTGAGGACAAGTAATGACCTGTATGAGAATGACTATTGGTATTTTGGAGACATGCAACCACTCCCCACGTAACGTTAACCTGTATGCCATTTTAGATATATAACAATTATGGTGAAAGTGTAGGATTGAGTGAATAATACCTTGGTCATACAGCCCTAGAGGCTAGTGGTAACCACCTGTCACTTAAGTAGTTGGTCTATTCCCCAACCAGTTGGCAAAAACCTTGTGTTTGCTTTGGCCACTAGCATATTTCTGCTGTAGCAATTTGAATCGAAGTGATGGATGTATCCAAAAACACTGTCTACTCTCCGAGTTGTACTGAACCTGCCAAAAGTGTAACATAAACTAGAAATGGAGGCAGTTGGCTTCAGAGTTATAGTGGCACTTTATGAAAAATTTTGGCTGAGGTGCAGCTTTTACTTTGAAGGCAAACCTTCTCCATTTCCAGTTTCCATCACTCTTTCTAGTATTTCTACTGCTGGGCCAGTAGTTAGGAAGTATTCAAAGCATTTTTATCTGAAGAAGTACAGCTAACTGTGGAAATCTGCTAGCAACCAGTGCAATAACTGGGAGGTTTTTGGTACAGAATCTTCTTTGATAATTTCACCTAGTTAAGCAACAACCTCACAAAGTGGCTAGAGAAGAAATAATTTATGAACCTTTTTAAAATAAATAAATAAATTTTAGATAAATGTGTGATTGAGTAAAGTGTGTGTCATGTCATGTGAGAAACCTCTGTAAATGTTAGACATAATTTAATGAAAGCTGTTGTTGAGTGCAAGGTAAGAGACAGGCATTTTCAGATCAGCAGGTTGGCACGCTAGAAAAAGATCACACCATATAGCTAAGGATACAGCAACAAGTGAAGCACTGCAGTTTTATACTACAGGCAAGTGTAAATGGGAACAAGGCAAGCAAGCGACCTCAAAAGTAACCTCTATTCCCTGTAGTTTAAATGTCAGTGCTTTTCTATAATTATGCCTTTGAGACATTCTTATTTACAAAATCCAATGCTGCCCATTTTATCATTATGGGGAGCAATCCTGTTGTACATCCCACCATTGCTGGGACACTATTCTGTTATGTTGCTGAAGTGAAGTTTAATCTCCAAACACTTTATTAAAGTTTATGGATTTGGTTTGTTGTAAAACTGTGTGTTTCAATAAAATATGCTGTTCTTTCTCTTTCTCCACTGTAATAACCTAGAGTAATATTAAAAATGCATGTTAGTTGCATCCAATCTTCATTAGCATTTTTATTGAATATAACTATAGACTTTGGTCTAACTTGACAAGGTGTCAAAAAACAAATATATACCCATTTCAATTATTTATTTTTACCAGTGAAACCAATATAACATCTCCACATTCACAAATATACATTTCTGACATTCAAAAACAAAACAAAAACAAATCAGCGACCAATATAGCCACCTATCTTTGCAAGGACACTCAAAAGCCTGCCATCCATGGATTCTGTCAGTATTTTGATCTGTTCACCATCAACATTGCGTGCAGCAGCAACCACAGCCTCCCAGACACTGTTCAGAGAGGTGTACTGTTTTCCCTCCTTGTAAATCTCACATTTGATGATGGACCACAGGTTCAAATGGGGTTCAGATCAGGTGAACAAGGTGGGCATGTCATTAGTTTTTCTTCTTTTATACCCTTTCTTGCCAGCCACGCTGTGGAGTACTTGGACGCGTGTGATGGAGCATTGTCCTGCATGAAAATCATGTTTTTCTTGAAGGATGCAGACTTCTTCCTGTACCACTGCTTGAAGAAGGTGTCTTCCAGAAACTGGCAGTAGGACTGGAAGTTGAGCTTGACTCCATCCTCAACCCGAAAAGGCCCCACAAGCTCATCTTTGATGATACCAGCCCAAACCAGTACTCCACCTCCACCTTGCTGGCGTCTGAGTCGGACTGGAGCTCTCTGCCCTTTACCAATCCAGCCACGGGCCCATCCATCTGGCCCATCAAGACTCACTCTCATTTCATCAGTCCATAAAACTTTAGAAAAACCAGTCTTGAGATATTTCTTGGCCCAGTCTTGACGTTTCAGCTTGTGTGTCTTGTTCAGTGGTGGTCGTCTTTCAGCCTTTCTTACCTTGGCCATGTCTCTGAGTATTGCACACCTTGTGCTTTTGGGCACTCCAGTGATGTTGCAGCTCTGAAATATGGCCAAACTGGTGGCAAGTGGCATCTTGGCAGCTGCACGCTTGACTTTTCTCAGTTCATGGGCAGTTATTTTGCGCCTTGGTTTTTCCACATGCTTCTTGCGACCCTGTTGACTATTTTGAATGAAACGCTTGATTGTTCGGTGATCATGCTTCAGAGGTTTTGCAATTTTGAGACTGCTGCATCCCTCTTCAAGATATCTCACTATTTTTGACTTTTCTGAGCCTGTCAAGTCCTTCTTTTGACCCATTTTGCCAAAGGAAAGGACGTTGCCTAATAATTATGCACACCTGATATAGGGTGTTGATGTCATTAGACCACACCCCTTCTCATTACAGAGATGCACATCACCTAATATGCTTAATTGGTAGTAGGCTTTCGAGCCTATACAGCTTGGAGTAAGACAACATGCATGAAGAGGATGAAGTGGACAAAATACTCATTTGCCTAATAATTCTGCACTCCCTGTATATGATACTGAAAGTATTTCTTTAATATCGAATTATTATCTTATTTGTTTAAATGATATGACAGTGGGAATTAATTGTCATTCTAAATGGACATTTTGCTTATTATAGAGCATTTATGTTTAAATAATCTTAGGTTATGTAAGATATGGTTTCTTTAGTAAAGCTAACCTTGCTAGCACTGATACTGAAAGCTAGGATGAATGTTAAGCAGAGGTGCTGTCCTCATTTGCTAAATGTCCTGTAAGTATAAATGATGATTCTTCTGTTGAATATTATATTTTCCAATGTGAATTTTGTAAAAAAAATTATACTGATTAAATGTAATGAAGTCACAGGAAAGAGTTTATTGAATTAATACATTGCAAACAGACAATTTAGCAGCTGTTTCATATTTTATGAACGCTGACAAAAGGTTCCAAATAGATGTCTCTTACTCAGCACTTTCACCCTAGAAAAAAAATCATAAAAAAAAATCCAATTATTCAACACATATTAACATTTTACAGGTTATCCCACATGAGATTGCAGAAGGACAAACTAAATTCTATCAGTGTATACAAAATTAATAATAATAATATAATATAAAAGATAATCTATCTAAAGACAACTAATTTAAAATGGGATTAGATGAATTACCTTTCCAGCATCACGGCTCTTGGCTCTCAGTTTGTTGACCTGAGATTCAGCAATGTCAGCACGCTCCTGAGCTTCCTCCATCTCATGTTGGACCTTTCTCAGTCTGGACATGTGGGTGTTGGCCTGTTCTTCCTGTTCAGTATTAAAGTATGTTGGATTGTTAAAGAAATATCTGATCATTCATGAGAGCTATATTTACATAATTAATCATCTTTCAATATTTAAGGTCACAGAACATTTCACTCACAGCCTCCTCAGCCTGTCTCTTGTAAGCCTTGACTTTGAGCTGTAGCTTGTCCACCAGATCCTGAAGTCTGACCAAATTCTTCTTGTCCTCCTCAGTCTGTATATATAGCAAACTGTTATTTAGAACTGGAGAAGAAACAATTTAGGAAATTATGAATTTCTAGGTAAATGTGTAATCACCTGGTAGGTGAGCTCCTTCACTCTCCTCTCATATTTGCGGACTCCTTTAACAGCATCAGCTCCACGTCTCTGCTCAGCTTCAACTTCAGCTTCCAGTTCACGGACCTTTAATGCCATTATAAATAATCAGCTTTTAATAAATATTAAGAGTACAGAGAAGAAAATGGGTGGAGATCATGTGATGGAATCAAAGTGTTTTTTCTTTTTAAATATTTGAATAATAGTTCGAGAACAACATACCCTGGACTCCAGTTTCTGGAGCTGCTTCTTGCCACCCTTCATGGCGAGGTTCTCTGCCTCATCCAGACGGTGCTGCAGGTCCTTGACTGTGACCTCCAGGTTCTTCTTCATCCTCTCCAGGTGAGCACTGGTGTCCTGCTCCTTCTTCAGCTCCTCAGCCATCATGGCAGCCTAAAATATGGGTGGTATTGGAATTATTGATCAAGCATGAACAAGAATTTTGAAAAGAAAAGAAGGCTTGTAAAGTACTAACTTCCATCAGTGATAGCCTTTTTGGCCTTCTCCTCAGCATTTCTTGCTTCCTGAACGGCATCATCCACCTCACCCTGAACCTGGACAAGGTCAGCCTCCAGCTTCTTCTTGGTGTTCAAAAGACTGGTGTTCTGAATGAAAGAGAACAGTTTTAATGATGTGATTCTCACTCTCTTATATCTCAAAGTCTTGTAATGTAATGAATAACAACCTGAGAGTGAAGCAGTCCAACACGCTCGCTAGCATCAACCAACTCCTGCTCAGCCACTTTGCGTCCTCTCTCTGTCTGCTCCAGAGCAGCTCTCAGCTCCTCAATCTCAGCCACCATCAGACCATTTCTGCGCTCCACCATGGCGACCTGCTCCTTCATGTCTTCCTGTCCTCTGACTGCATCATCCAGGTGCAGCTGAGCATCCTGATGACAAACAAACAAAAGATATTATCATTGTTTGCTTGGAGGTTAATTAAAAAACACAAACACACACACAATCTACCAACTCACCTTGAGCTGTCCTTGGACATTCCTCAGTTGTTTCTGGGCCTCAGCAGCCTGTCTGTTGGCATGGCTCAGCTGAATCTCCATCTCATTCAGGTCTCCCTCCATCTTCTTCTTGACTCTCAGGGCATCATTCCTGCTCCTGACCTCAGCATCCAGAGTGCTCTGCATGGAGTCAATCACCCTCTGTCATGGTCCGCGGCCCGGCGTCCGAGGTGCTGATGGGATGCCCACTCCCGTGGGCGTGGCTGCTAACTCCACACCTGCATCCCATCCCGGGCGATCACCAGGTGGACTATTTAATCCTGCCCAGCCTGCTGCTCCACGCCAGTCCGTAGTCGTCCTTCAGCGATCGCAGCTCGGCGTGTTTGAGCTACCAGCCTGTCCACCTGCCTGTCCGGAATTTGGATCAAAATCAGCCCCAGCCGCCTCGACCTTTCTGAAGCTTCTCCCCACGGACCCTCACCCCTCCCTCCGGTTCCCTCGGCCCCGCTATCATCCCTCCCACAGTCCCGCTCTCGGCGTTCCTGCGCGATTCACCTCCCGGTCCCTCGGTTTTTCTGGTTCCGTGCGTTTTTTTCCCTTCTACACTCCCGGGACACCCTCAGTTATAATAAAGTTTATTTTTTGTTCTCTCGTACCTCTGTGTGTGTGTGTTCTGCTCCTGGGTCCAGCTTGTGTGCGGAACTTCGGTTCATGACACCCTCTGGCTGTTCCTCTTGATCTGCTCCATCTCCTCGTCCTTCTCTGACAGCTTCCTGTCAATCTCACCTTTTACCTGGTTTAGCTCAAGCTGAACACGAAGGATCTTGGCCTCCTCGTGCTCGAGAATTAGCTCTCTCCACATCAATCATGAGGTCCTCCACCTCACCCTGCAGCCTCTGCTTGGTCTTCTCCAGTGAGGCACACTTGGAGTTCACAGCCTCAATGGATTCCTCAGCCTCCTGCAGGCGCTGGGCAAGCTTTTTCCTATCGTTTAAATAATTTTGTTTTTATTAAGGCTGAATTGGTTGGTTTTAAGTCTGAAAACTAATTTAAACAATGAAAGTATGGTGACTTACTTGGCCTCCTCCAGCTCCTCAGTTCGCTGGATGGCATCAGTCTCATATTTGGATCGCCACTGAGCCACCTCACTGTTGGCCTTGGACATTCCTCGCTGCAGCTCAGCCTTGGCCTCCTGCTCCTCCTCAAACTGCTCTCTGAGCAGATCACAGTCATGACGTGCTGACTGAACAGCATGAGCCAGGGCGTTCTTGGCCTTTTGAACACAATCAATGTCAGATGGACAATTTTAATTAAAATCAATTTTAAAGTCTAATGCTGAGAGGATGAGATATTTAAATGGTAACAACTAGGAACCAAATTAGAGGACAGTCAACCTGATTTAAAACTTATGTGTTTAAATTAGTAAGCGCTATGATATAAAAGAAGAGAGAAAATATTTCAGACCTTCACTTCCTCCTCAACGTGTCTCTTCAGTTCCTCAATCTGCTGAGTGAAGGCCTGCTTGCCCCTTGTGAGCTGAGAAATGAGAGCTTCTTTCTCCTCAAGCTGGCGACTGAACTCACCTGAAATTAAGACACATAAATTAAGCCTACCGGTAGTTTGTTTGATTTTATCCACTGATTGATGGTACTTTTATGTCAACTCAATGTGAATAATTTCCAGAGACAGACTGTTTTTTTGTTATACATCACTTACCATTCTCTGTCTGAAGTCTCGCCTTCTGGGCATTAATGTCATTCAGCTGACGAACATTCTCATCATTTTTGACTTTGAGTTCACTTAGTTGATCCTCAAGAGTCCTGCACATTTTCTCCAAGTTGCCCTGTCAAAACGGTTAACATTTTAAAGACTGATTACAATCAGTTATAGAGATTCAAATTTTTACATTTTTAAAATCTCATGTTATTTTACCTTATGTTATGTTATGTTTATGTTAATCTTTTCTTATTTCAACAGTCATTCATACACAGGAGTTTTAGTAATAATAACATTATCACATCTATGAATATCTGCTTTTAAAGGTTTTGAAATGTGAAAAAAACAAAGTCTTTTTTCTATAAATACTGTCCGCACCTTTGCTTCAGCAACAGCCTCCATGTTGCTGGAGAGGTCATCAATCTCCATCTTGTACTCGCTCTTCTCTTTCTCCAGCTTCTGTTTGACACGCTGGAGGTTGTCGATCTGCTCTCCGAGCTCTGCTACAGTGTCAGCCTGCTTCTTACGGAGAGCTGCTGCAGTAGCTTCATGCTGCAGAGTTGATTCCTCAAGATCACGACGCAGTTTCTGGAACTCAGCCTCTCGCTTCTTGTTCATCTCAATCTGAGCAGCTGTTGCTCCACCAGCTTCCTCGAGCCTCTCGCTGATCTCTTCAAGCTCCCTGGAGAGGTCGGCTCTCTGCTTCTCTACCTTAGCCCGAGCTGCCCTCTCAGCCTCAATCTCCTCTTCCAGCTCCTCAATACGAGCCTAGTTTGAAATTATTTGGATTTATCGATTAGAACCTAAACTAAACTAGGTTTTTGAATTATAATGAACAATATTCTTTATGAAGACTGGTCGTTAGTGTTACCTGAAGTTCTTTGATCTTCTTCTGAAGTTGAGCACCAAGGGATTGTTCATCTTCAATTTTGCTGAGAAGTTGGCTGATTTCAAAGTCCTTCCTTGGTGTGGAAGAAGTATGGTTTTACGATCATAGTCCATATGATTATTGCAATGCAGTGTGTGTAAAGAAAATTATTTACAAAAAAAGCCCTACTTCTTGATTTTCTCATCAGACTGCTGCTTGTCATTCTCCAGATCCATTATGGATTCCTGGGCCAGTTTCAGATCTCCCTCCAGCTTCCTCTTGGCTCTCTCAAGGTCCATGCGGAGCTTCTTCTCTTGCTCCAGTGAACCCTCAAGCTATAAAGTCATGTCAGTTGATTCAAGTGGTTGGTATGACAATGATTCAGCACTAAAATTCTTTCCATAAAAAACAAAAAACAACAACGTAATTTTTATAGTTTTCTTACATCATCAACTTGCTGTTCCAGCTTTGTTTTGGACTTGGTCAGAGTGTTGACTTTGTCTTCTTCTGCCTGGAGATCATCCAGTGTTTGCTGATGGGCCTCTTGTAAGGCTTTCTTCTCCTTAGTCAACTTGGCAATTGACTCATCTTGAGATGCCATCTCCTCTGTCAGGTTTTTCACCTGAAACAATGTGAATACATTAAGTTTAATTTTGTTTGAGATTTTACTGATTATTTGATCGTTTAACATGTATATTCAAAGAACAACATTACATGTTTTAATTGAACTAAGTATACAATCAAAATGAACTGAACCTTGTTTTCTGTGGCATGTTTCTCCTTCTCCACTTTGGCCAAGGTGAGCTCCAAGTCATCAATGTCCTTCTTCAGCTCAGAGCATTCATCCTCCAGCTTCCTCTTCTTAGCAGTCAGCTCAGCATTGATTTCCTCTTCATCCTCCAGTCTCTCACTTGTCTCTTTGAGTTTTGCTTCAAGCTGGATTTTGCTCTTAATGAGCCCCTCACACCTTTCTTCAGCATCAGAGAGATTGTCAACTTCCTATAATACATGTTGAACACACAAGTTAGATTATTTGTGACAAAAGTGTAGTTAAAATCATAATTTTAACTACACTTTTGTTTTAGCAAATAAATAATCAGAGGGAGAGACAAACATGTGGTCTTTTTATATCTACCTTATATACATGAACTATAGGTGCAATGTATACTTTTCTCTACTACTTACTGCAGCCACTTGAAGTTGCAGGTCATTCTTCTCCTGCAGCAGGCTGACCATCTTCTCTTCCAGTTCCTTCTTCTTAGCCAGAGCAGCAGCCAGGTCTGTCTTCATCTTATCATAGTTCTCCTTCATGTTCTGCAACTCCTTCTCAGTCTCAGCACTCTTCAGAAGAGGCTTGATCTTGAAATATACTTTCAGCCATGGCCAGTTCTTGACATTCATGAAAGAACGGATGTTGTACTGGATGGTGTAGATAGATTCTCTAAAAACCAAACATGAGAGTGTTACTTTGTGTCGTCGGATCTTAATATGAGGAAGGAAATACAAAAGAGAATACAATAGAGTTTACTATGATAATGTTACCTCCTCTCCATCATCTTCACAAACTCTTTCCTCATGACGTATCCTCTGCAGAGAGCCTGAGTCATGGTCACCAGCTCAGCCAGTTTCTCATCTCTCAACTCCTCAAGAGTGCCCAGCAGACCAGCTTTGAAGAACACCTATTTAATCATTGAAAACATAAGTACAAGTACAAAGGGACAGTTTTTGTTAATGTCTATTAATATAATGAAGTGTACCTTTGTGTGCCCAAACATGTATTGTGTGTGATCCACATCAATGGAGCCAAGCAGCTTCTCTGAAGCTTTCTTGTTGTCAATGAACTGTCCCTCAGGGATGACACTGGCATTCAACACTTTGTATCTTCAAGAGAGATACAATTACAGTTGTTACTTAGATTTTTCTTCCATCATATTCAAGTTTGTCCTTTACAACAACCATGAAACCATTTTTCCTTTCCAATATTGTAATGTGCTGTCACCTCTGCTTGAAGTCACCATAGAGGATTCTGCTGGGGAAACCCTTTCTGCAGATTCTGATGCCCTCCAGTACACCGTTACACCTCAGCTGGTGGATGACCAGGAAGTTCTCCATAAGGCCTGAGAGTCAGAAATGCATAATGTTTCAAATCTTTTCTATATTCTTACTGTCATTTTTACAGTTAATATTACTGTAGGGTACCTGGGGTCTTTGTCTCATTGGGAATCAGGCAACGGACAAAGTGAGGATGAGTGCTTCTTAAGTTGGTCATCAGCTTGGCCAGATTCTCCTGTAGATCAGCATCATTAGATAATAGGTTGATACTATTTAAAAATGAGCATTTAATTTACACACATATCTATATCTATCTATATATCTATATATATATATATCTATATATATATATATATATATATATATCTATATATCTATATATATATATATATATATTATATATATATATATATATATATATATATATATCAACATTCGAAAGAAGGGACTGCTCTCACAGCTAGAGATTGACGAGGTACAACACAAATGCTACGGCAAGGAGGAGTCAGGACGCCAGGTCAGGGGGGAGATATCATCACCCCCACCCGAGATTGGGTACATAGCCCCAAGTGCGATAGGAGAAGGATCGTTGAGTGCGAGAGGAACTGACCTGAAAAATAGGATCATGGCCAAGCTTGAAACCTGGATCCCCCGTAGCCGGTTACCAAGATTACGTGAAGTACCCTCAGAAGGTCTGCTAGATGATGTTAATGCAGCACTACGGGCAATACCTACAACCACGATTACCGACACTAACAAGCTGATCTACAATACGGCAGCAGTGATCAGTGAGATGCTTGGCTACAAGTTGAACAGCCACAAGGGGCAGTACCCTCCATGGAGAAGGAGGCTAGAGGGCAAGATCAAAGTAGCACGGAGGGAGGTTAGCCAACTAACGGAGTTGCAGAAATACAGCAAGCTGTCCATACCTGAGGCCTTGGAAACTGCCAAGCAAAGACTCACAGCCTTGGCCACCCGGTTGAGGAGGTACACCAGAGAGATAGAAGGCAGGAGAATAAACCAGCTGTTCTCCACAGAACCAGCAAAGGTGTACTCTCAGTGGCAAGGGAACAATAATAATAAGAGAACAGCACCACCAAGGCTGGAGACGGAGCAATACTGGAAGAGCATATGGGAGAAGGATGCAATCCATAACGGCAATGCTCAGTGGCTAGTGGATCTGAGGGCAGACCACAGCGACCTCCCTGAACAGGGTCCAGTAACCATCACAGTGGCAGATATCCAAGAAAGGGTCTCCAGTATGAAGAGTTGGACAGCACCAGGGCCCGACATGGTTCATGCCTACTGGCTAAAGAAG